AGAATTATTATTTCTTTAAAATATTTAAAAATTTATTTTCGTATATTTTTGTGCTACTACACAACAACATACCAATCGCAACGTACTCGGCCACTTCAAAGAGTTTCACTTTCGTAAAAATGCACAATTTTTAGGTTTAAAGTTGCCGCAAAAGTTTCTGAATTGCCGCATGTAAATCTGAATTATTCCGAATGTGACTTGAATTGACTTGAAGTAGCTTTAGTCTTTTTTAATTGAATTTTTTACAATTGAAAGTATCTTCAAAAATTACTTGAAAATTTTAATTATTTCTGATTACAACACTTTCTTTATTGACTTTTGCAATTTTCTGTTCTGTTTTGAATTTGTGTTTTTTGAATTTTAAAACCAGCGCACCTTGCAACTACACATCTTCTTCGCTTGCAGCACCTAACGCGACTGAGGTAAACGTACTCGTAGCACAAACTTTTTAGAAAAAATCACACGCAGCAACTTCAGCACACATAAACTCTAACACACACGCACACACACACACACAATTCAACACACAATTTGTGTGAGAAACCAACACACAAACGCCTTTTGGTAAAGGCGCCGGAAAATCGTAAAGTAAGCACGAAGCTGTTAACAGGAAAGCCCGAACACAACATGCAAAGGAATTTTGCCTATTTTGTTGTTATTATTTTATTTGCTCGTCATTCGACGACTCAAACGATATTCAGCCATTCATGACATATCGTGTATGAAGTATTTAAGAGCGCGCAAACGCTAAAGAGAGAGCAAAACGAGTCCTTTGCATGTAAAGCCGTAAGTAGTATTGCAAACAATCCCTTTAGTGTGCCTAGCGCCACCATTTTAAGTGACTAAGCACTGTTGTTCGTTTTTAAAAGTTGAAATATGTTGTCTATATGATGCACTCCCTTGAGTAAGGGTAGTTTTCTCTTTAGCAATAAAATAGCTCAAAATTTTATTTGCATAATTTGCCACTTCGTGCAAATTGGCGCTGCGCTCAGTAAGTATGTAAAAAAAATGCATTTTCGAAAAGCTTTTGTAGTGGTGAAAAAGTGGAATTATTAAAATTCTCATAAAAAATCGTGTGAAAAACGTTTATATATTGAAGTGGTAGAGTGTAAATAGAAACCCGTCTTGGAGAAAGTCAGACTCACTTAAATCTCAGTTAACAATTGCTTCTATTGTGACAAAGTTTATAATTTTTTTGAGATGATTACCTGCCGAGAAGGCTTATAGTGATTTTAGCACACGTATCAGTTAGATCCATCAGAGTTCCAAGCAATTGTGCCGGTATTAAATAAAAATTTAATTAAACAGAAGAGGTTGTTCCTCTTCAATATTTACCGTAGTACATTTATTATACAGAATCCATAGCTTTTTAACATGATTGCTTGCCATGAACGCTCGACTTTCTAATACATATATCAGTCTGAAGCAACGATAAATGCACCACTGAAATCGAAAGGTGCATATCATGCTGAAATTTCACAGTTACTAATTGAAGCCATATGTTTAGATATATAATAGTTTTATCCTTGCGAGGAAAGCAAGACCTATACAAGAGCACTACTGATTTTGGTTCACAGCATGCGGTTGAAGTATATAATTCCCATTCGAATGAAAGTAAAGAAAAACTACCATTTTACGCGAGTAACTTTAGGTTTTAACCATTGGAATTCCAAGGAATTTCGTTCATACCAATTTTGGGAACGAGGCCACAAACTTGGATTTAGTTTCCTATATTGAAAGGGAACAATATCTATCCAATAGCATACAGTTGTAATGCAACTTCAAATAGAATGAAAGTAATGAACGTAGTCTTTCTACTTGTATTAGTTTAAGTTTTAGTAACAATAAGCAAAGTACTTCCAACCAACTTCTATTGGTCAAAACAGTCAAAGCTATCGGCCCTGACCATCATGGTATCAGATTTATACGTATAGATGGGTTACACTCTACCATTTATACTTCAAACAATATTGGTTGATGCCTTCAATATTTTAATGCCCTCTTATCATGGGCAAGTTTTAAATCGAGAATCCCGTTTCCAGCGAGAGCAGTCCCATTGTGACAGCATAATTTTTATATATTAATATGCTGAATTTTAATAGGGCTTTTTTGTTTCAAAAGAATATTTTTTAACTAGGAACTATTATGCTTGATAAAATGTTATGCAGTTTAGGACGATTTGATTATAAATATAATACTTTCTACAGAACAAGCATGTTTACCTTCACAGTCAAAAATTTTTGATTCTCTAAAGACGATTGTAAAAACTTCGTAGCGCTAAACGGTCTCAGAATATTCAGATAGATTGCACTCTGCATTTATTTGTAACCGTTTTCTGTTCTTAAATAATGCCAAGTAATTGCGTATAATCATGATTACTAACGTCCTAAGAGCTTTCCACGCTGCGCATTTCAAGAGAAAGTCAAAGAACGACATAGAATCATTCACACTGATGTGATTTAGAATTCTTGATTCTATGCCTGTTCTCATATTCAGTATATAGCTGAACAAATTTATAGATTTAGAATAAGAGTTGTCCACCTCTACCAGATGAAAGCGGTATTTGAACAGACTAAAGTGACCTGTTAACTGATCTACAAAGAATCTATTTACTGTTCTGATTTGTTGAGAAACTCTTTTGTAGGCAAAAGAAGCTAAAGACACCTAAATGTCACATTAAGAAGCTGTCGTATCTGTAATAACATTGTCGACTTTTATGGAGTCGTCATAACGAGTTGAAATAATGTCAAGTTATTTGAAGAAATTAGTTCCGATATTTAGACTGATTCAGTTTCAATAAAAAATTACTAGTCTGGTTTTATAACAAAAAAAAATCATAAGAAAATTTCTTTAGAGAAAAATTTTTTTTTTATTTTTTATTAAATATATTATTTTATTTTTTATTTATGAGAAATTATTTATAAACTGGAATTTATTTATTCCAATTCATAAGAGAAATTGGAAAAACTTCTTCTTTTGCATGGAGAAATAAAAATTAATTGTAGATCAACTTAGACTTATCTGGTTTCTTTAAAATCATCTGTAAAACTGAATGATATTCAGAGAGTTGGATGAAAAAAATGCATTATCAATGAAATGGACGCCCTGAACATTAAAATGTCGTACACTGGTTCAATTATATGATCTCGACGTAGGAGCGCATTTTTCTATATATTTTCAACTACAGAACTCAACCGCAGTGAATATAAGCGATAATAGATTATCTAAACAAAATTTGTACTACCATATATGTATTAAATTTCACAATCTGATCCAAGTAATCTTGAGTATTTATTAATTTCCGCGGGCTGCACAAATATTAACCGAGGGTTGCATGAAGCGCGTGAGTCATGCTTTGGACAGCCCTGGTATAGATAATGCAGAAGACTTATACACTAGAAATCTTATAGTAAATTGTAGGTTTACTTGAAGATTCTGGATGGAAGTATGGATTGAATCTACTATTTAATGATTACTGCCACGAGAAAATTGATAAAAGCGCTTTATTTCTAGTACCTGAACATGCTGTAGACTGGCTTTCTGCAGAATATGAGTCCGTTGTTAATCGGTAAATACATCATTCTTAAAGTAAGTTTGTTATTGAGTCACTGTTTGCAATTAGGAAACTTTGCTAGAAGATTGAATCTTTCCTTCAATGATTACTGCCATGAGATGAGTGATAAAAGTGTTTTAGTGCAAATAAATGCACAATGTGGATTAAATATGCCAGAGATTTACTTCCTTGACGTTTTTTGCAAGTTACAGAGCTTTTTTTTAGAGAGTAACTGAAATTTATAAAGAGCCTTTCTTTAAGAAACAGCTTAGACTATATTAAGAGCAGTGGTGGCTAAGACGAAAGCACTGCCGCAAGGTAAGTTCAAATTTTCGGTTCAACGATTACTGCCAGAAGAAGAAAGTTATCCATTTCTAGTTCCTGCATAATGTAGATTAAATATACCAGACTCTACTATCTAGACAAACTTAGATAGCTATTGAGACATTCTTTAAAATGCAGCTGTGGCTTTCTTATAGAATCCGGATGATTTCAGACCCTCACGTTTTATATGACTGCACAATAGATCGATAGCTCTACGAGTACTTAAAAAACGCAATTTAATCTAAGCTTTTTAATATTACCAGACTATAGAAAAAGTAATGTTAACTAACATAGTGTGAGACATGTCCAAGAGTATTTGGATTTTTCAGTATTAGCTGAACTAAAATATTCCGTTATTGCTAATGCATTTATCCGTTCGTCTACTGTTGAATATTCTATTTTTAACAATCCTGTAAGGATACTTGATTTACTGAAATTCTTCCAGTATTTAAGATTAATGTTTGTAATTAAAATGTGAATGCTAAGCACTTGTTGTTATTTAATTTAATTAATTTGTAGTCTTATTTGAGTGAATAGTAACTTAGATACAAATTATTTAAAGTAATTGCCTTTTCATATTTATTTCTTCAAGCCCACAAAAATGTAATGATTTCAGCTTCACAATTTAAAAGGTGGAGAAATTTATAAACCAAATAGATTTAAAAGAGATTTTTTGTAAAAAAATTTTTTAAATATAAAGTTTTACTCAAAAAAGAATATTTAAAATTTTCTTCGTGTTCATAAAAAAACAACACACTTGAATTATTGAATGGAAAAATTCGTTGAAAAACCATACAGTCATAGATACTTTAAAATTTAATAAAAAAAAAATATTACATCAATCATATATCAGACATATTGAGCATTTATGACATCATAGAACATTTAATATTATTTTTTTTTTTTGTATTTTTCATAATCATTTTTCATAAAATAGAATTTCTCAGAAATTTTTTACTTTATTTGCTTTTTATTAATTCTTGACCTGTTGAACTTTTTTTAAATGTACTTTCCATTAAAAGGCATTTTATTTTATTTATTTTTGATTTTTCATCAAAAAATAAAATATAAAGTTTGTATTGAAAATTTCATTAAATAAAAAATTGGATCACACATGACTTACCTCGAAATTTCCGCCGAGATTTGGGCCAGCTTGTCCCACATACAAAGTGGATGCGGAGTCGAAAACAAGCTCCATGGGCTCCTTAGAAATTAATGTGGTTTCGGTCTCTTTACAATTGTGATAAAAGACGACTTTATCGCTTAGCACTTGAAAGGCGATGTTCGACCAGGTTTTGCCCTTGTAGGGTAGATGGTAGCTGACTAGTTTCCGTATCGTATTACTCTCGGATTGTGTGTACAGCAGCGACACATTCCACATGCCTTTTATCGCAGGTGATAAATGTAAGCCCAACTGCACAACCGTATCCAATGGATTCACCACACTGAATAGATAACCGCCCTTGGGTGAATTCGGGCTAAACGACGCCATAATTGCAAATTCATACAACTTCTCTGGCAGGAACAAGCGATACGGCGACTTGACATCAGCGATGGGTAGGAATTTATACGCTGGAAAGCCGTCTTCTGCATAATCAAATTCAATGCCTTCGAATTGATTGTTGTTCATGATATCGAGAATTGTGTACTCGACTAGGGCATCTGTGAAAATATTACACAAAAATTATTAAAATAGAAAAAAAACAACACAATATTTGAAAATAGAAAATATAATTTAAAATTTGATTTCATTATTTTATGAAATATTTCTTGCAACAATTTAAATAATATTTGTAAATTGAAAAATATTTTTTTTCTTTACTTTTTGATTCAAATGAAATTCATTTTTCTATTTATTAAATTGTTATCTGGTTATGTTTCTGATTACTCGAGCAGATCTATTTAACAAAGGATTTCAGTGAATGTAGTTTTTTTAAACAACTTCTGTGAATATTACTTAATTTTAAAATACTGGTATTTAGAGTTGAAGACTTTTCATAAAACCCACTAAAAAAGTAGACCTGCCTGCTTCAAAGCATCCGCATACTCCGCAAGATAAGATGAAATCCTTCCTTTAATGATTACAGCCATAAGAACAACGATAAAAGTGGTTTATTTCCGAATGCTTGTCCAATGTAGATTAAATATGTAAGAGACTTAGTTCCCCGACTGGTGTAATGTAGATCACCACTGCGTGGAGAACTCTGCCATATATTCTATTCCGCATACGTGCTGTCCTTTTCATAGATAATAGCATCTTCTAGCAACGACCGTTTCGACCCCGGTCATCAAATTCATCAACCATCCTAATTGATTGCCTTGAACTGTACAGGCTTCTGTCTTCTGGCGCCCCGGTAGTACTGAATTGATACTCATTTGTGAACCACTCCAGGCTAAGTCTGTAACTGCCTCCGACTCGTTAAAACCCTGGCAGGAATCATGGTACATTTTGCATCCGTCATCATTAAATTGGTCTTATAGGTTCAGTTGAATTTAACAAATCGGCCTCGAAGCTTTAAGATCTTTAAGATCTTAACTGAACTCTAATCCTAACTTTAAAGTATTGGAAATTATATGAAAAGAATTATAAATATATTTCAAAACCTGTCAAAATGAGTTCGGATTTATCATTAATTGCTGAACTAAAACAACCTATTTTTGTAAATCCATTCGTCCGTTCTCCTTTTATAGATATTATAGGCCCGTTGCTGCCTATTGTTTCCTTTTTCTTGTGTTTTAAACCTAGAGTTAGTATTAAATTCACTTTTAATGTCTTATGAAGTTAATTACTCGGTAAGTTCATCGGTTAATACATCGGTTAATTTTGTTGATATTGACTAGACCAAATTGCTTTTTTATGATATCAGACTTTGAAGTCTAGCATATCTGTCATTGGTGACAAAAAATGCTGATAGTTCTTAATAGATCTAGCATATTTGATACTGGTGGCAAAAAATGCTAATGGTCCTTATTGAGCTAAGCTCATTATTCTAATGAGTTTCACAGTATCGAAATCCGTAATATATTTTGTAATGCTCTCTACTTTTATATCCTCATGAATGCTCGAATTTCTTACATACCATAGGAACTTCAATAGTCTTCTTAGGACTATACATATTATATAAATGAAGTTTATTTTTACTTCTCAAAAGTAGCAATTTAAGAAACATCCTAATCCTAACAGATAGTTTGATAAATAATATGGAGATACATAAAAATTCTATAAAATATATTTAATTAATAGAATTATGTTTTTAGAAGCTAAGTATTAGAGTTGATTTGGTGCTTAAACATTGAACGAAATCAGTCTCCTAACTGATGCCTCTATTATACGAACACGTTTATTATTCGAACGCCTCTCGTAGGTACGTAATTATTTTAAGTTCAGTAATTTATATTTTTATTACTTGGAACAACTTGACCCAATTTGAGCAGACACCACTCTTGAAAACCTGATTGACCAAGAGTTTTGATTCTAATAATATGCAAATAAATTGATTTCTTTTAATCTAACATATAATCGAGTTGCACTATAATTTAAAAATATTATAATTTAGTTAGTAATTCAGTTTATTGTTAATAATTAAAATAATAATAGTAATTGTCTTATTAAATAAATAAATCACTAAATACGATGGAGCACAGAACTGCTATAAATTTACCTAAAAGCATGCAATCAAATTTTTTTGCATAGATCGGCCTTTTGTTTACAGCTTTATAGTATGCAAATAAATTTTTGTTTTTTAATGAGTTACAGTAGTGGCTACGAAAATGATACTTTTTGTATCTTCTTCGAAATCTTCTAAAACTAAATAGCCTAGATAGAATAACGAACCTTGCATTATGGAGCTAAAATACATTTATTTTTAAAGATTTTAGACAGAACGTTATATGTATTTTAATTGCATATTATTGCTATCAACATTATTTGTTTATAAATACTTGTTTTTTTTTCGGCTTAGATTGGTTTTGTTTAAAATTACTTCATATATTTTTATAATAAAAACAAATACAAATAAAAATATTGAATAAATTTGTAAATTTCAAACAAAAGTAATAGCTTTTTTATTTAAACAGATATCGGTTTTTTTCGTAAATAATATATAATAACATTGAATCTGGTTTACGAAGTAGTCTGAAATATCTATTTAAAATTAAAAACTATTATTTTTGTTTTTGAAATTAAGTAATAGAATTAATGTTTTTATTAACATATTTGTCTAATTATTTAAAATTAAATAATCAAACTAAAGCTTGGAAAACCTAAAAAAACACAAAAACCTGTTAAGTATTATATATAATATATTTTATTTATTTTAAATTAAAAATACATAATTATATTAAATATATTAATTAAATATATATTATGTTTAAACATTATATACCTTATTATTATTATTTTAATACATTAATACATTATACCATTTCATACATATACAGTTAGATGTTCACAAAAATTTTGTATATATATAATATAATATATATAATTATTTATTCTGTCATTTTTTATTTTGTTTATTTTTTTTTATGCATAATAATTTATTTAAATTTTATAATTACTGTTTTAATGACCAAGAATTTTATTAATAGTTTTTAAATTATTTTATTATTTTAAAATAATAATTATTATTATAATTAACAATTTTTTAAAATATTAGTTTTAAAATAATTTTCTGTTTACACCAATATTTTGACTATATTCTATAGTAATCGTCAGGGTACTATTACAATGTTTTTATAATGTGGAAATAACTACATTTCTATTTTTTATTTTTAGAAATATTGGCTATAAACTCACGTCAAAAACGATTGGTTTTTTTGAATATATTTATTGAATATAGCAAATACATATATTGAAATATAAAAAAATGCAGCGAATATAACTTATTGAATATAGGAATAAATAAATATAAGAATTAATTCAAAAAATATCACCAATGACACGTATTTTCTAATAGTCAAAACAGCTGTATGATTAGCCAAATGTTCAATTAATTAAAAATAATAAAATTTTGTTGTTGCGATTTACTATTGTTCCAAAAACCTCTCTATTGAAAACAATAGATTATTTTAAAAAAATAGAAACAGAAATGTTATAACTGATTATAAAAATCAAATATAATTGTATTTTCAAATATTATTTTATATTATAAAATAATTGAAAAAATTAAAATAATAATAAAATTGTTTTATATATATTTTAAATTCGGCTTATATTAAACGTTTGTTTAATATTTTTTTATATATTTTGTATGTCGACTCTCCAGATCCTGATGATGATTCTCAAGGAGAGTTGAAATATAGAATATGTTGAAAAAATATTAAACGTTTTATTTTAATAAAGAGGTGATCTGTTGCCAAATATAAAATATTTAAAAAAACATTATTAGAAACCAGATCGAGAAATAAATTCAAAATTTTAATAGAAATAAAATTATTAACAAAATAAAAAATTAAATATATAAATATTAAATGTAACATCGAGATCATAGTCTCTAATTATTTTAAGGGAAGCATTTTTAACGTAAAAATATTATGCAATATAGTGTATAAAATGTTATATTATATTATAAATATTGTGAAATATGTTGTGAATAATAAAATATTAAATTATAAAATATTTTAAAAATATTTTAAAATGTTGAATACCGCTTCGAGATCACAATCTCTACTTATTTCAGTTAAGCATTTGGGACCAAAATATAAGTATATTTTGTTATTTGTATAATAAAATATTATATTATATTATAAAATATTATTTTATATTTTAAAGTATTATATTATACCATCCGTAATTATTTTTAGGAGAACTTTTTCTGACCCAAATATTATTCATAAATTAAAGTTTATAAGTTTTACATAAAACTACTTCCTTCATAAATAAATTTAATAACAGATTAAATTATTGAAAATTGGTTGTCTACTCCAATCTTTATAAATTTAATTTTAATAATTAATATTAATTTATTACCTTTAATAGATTGTCCTGAGAGCTGAATTGATTGGAATTTTGCCATTGAAATTGTAGTCAGAAACAACAACAATATTTTGCGCCATGAACTGAAATGATAAAGATGACAATTTAGCATGAATATTAATAAAGAATGAGAATGCAAATTGGATTTGAATAAATATAAATTAATTGAATACAATGAATCACTTGTAATTAGTTTACGTACACAATTTAATAGAAAACAATTTGTAAATGATTGACTGCCCCAAACGAAGAAATGACAACCCCAAACGAGGAATACCGAGTACATCACCGCAATGCAAGGGTGAATGGTGACCGAATGTCTGGTCTGCTGCTACATGAAACCTACTAATTGCACCACACTTGCAGTTTATTTATTAACCACAAATATCGGTCGAACTTAAGCACAAGACTATGAAAATAATTGCCTTTGTATCTGAGTATCTCTCGACATGAAGTCACAGTTACGTGTGCGGTTGAGTTAAATGATATGCAAATGCAAGTGATTGTATCGGACTGAAGACCTGAAACGGAAGCCACGTGCTTTTGCTCATGGAATTCAATTCGAAATAAATTTATTGAATTGATTTAAGTGGGTTATAAACAAATGTAATTAATTTATTCGCCATATTAAATTAAAATTTATATTTGTCTCAAAAGATATTAAAACTAATACATCAAATGAGAAAAAAAGGGCTGGTAAAAACGCATCATCAATTCACAAAATCAAAGCCTGAGGAAGTTAGGTTTATGGTTGACGGAAAGTAAGCAAATAAATACGAAGCCCATAAAATATACAAAAACAAAAATATACAAAGTTTGTTTTCACTTTCAAGTACGTTAAACCACAAATAGGCTTAACCCATGTACGGCTTTAAGGCGCAGAGACCACAAAGTACTCTGTCGTATTGTGGTCAGTCGATGATTTTGTTAACTTTCAATATTTGCTGCCACATTTTTAATGAACAAATTTTATTTGATGTGAGTTTTTGTTGATAATTGTGGTTTGTTTCTCAAACGATACACTAAACCCAAAACAATATTTAAAGGAGTGGAACCCTTTTAAATCCTATAGGACGTCGAAGACTCTTGTCTGTGTCCAATTTTTTAATTTGTCAAATCAATGGAAGTTTTGAGGAAATTTGAAATCCATTAGCAAACCCTTTTGCAGCGAATAAATTGGTTCAGATTTCAATTTCAGTTTTCGTGTTATCGCGCACAGTTCATTAGTGCATTCCATGTTGGAGTCGTGCAACATGCAATGCTGAGCTGCAGTGATTTTGCTTCGGCATTGGTGCCATCGCATGACGATGACATAAATTCAAAATCCCAAAGGTTGTAATTGGGTGAAAGTGGTAAAGAAGCGCGCACTTGTTGCAAATGGTAATAGGAGCAGCGGAACAGTAATGATAATCCCCGATGAGTTGCAGTTAAATGCGGTCGGAATAGTAGTGTGTGGAATCATGTGGTTTATTGAGTCGATTTCAAATAAGTACACTTAAAGCGAATAGATTTCGTTTAGAGGCTAGGTAATATTTTGATTATTTTGACAGAACTATAGTAAGAAATTGTTAATAAAGAAAGAAAGGCGCATTATATATACATGGAATTATTAATAACAACGAGATCCACTTCTTTTATATATATGGATCATTCTTTAACAAAGGCTATAGCTTTTGAGCACATTGTCTCGATGTAACTGAAAAATTGAGCTTCAATATAATGTTTTAATAATAAAATAAAAAGACCAAAATTTCCGAAGAGAAATGTTCAAAGTTTCTTCAAAGAGATACTGAACCATTGGGTCGTGAGAGTATGCATTTTAGAGTTATTTTTAAGTCGCCATATCTTAGGTTTTATTAATGGTAGATATTTAAGGTTAACTGTTCCTTTAAAAATATTGGTCTAACAGTTTGTAATTAATTTAGACAACTGAAATGGTTTATATTTATTTACTAATATTAACTCATTATTAAAAAATATAAATTTTATGTAAATTACACATAAAAAACGTTTATTTTTTGTAATTGATTTTTATTCACCATTACATTTTAATTAAAAATCTAAATTTTCGGGATGACATTATCCAATGAAGTATTTTAAAAACGTAGTACCATTTATATATGGAAATCAAAATCGAAATAGCAGCCTGGCTAATACAATTAATTAATTAATTAATGCTTCAAAAATCATTATCTTTGTCAGGCAGTTCTAAAGGAAATTGAGTCTCAGGACCTGAAATCAAAAATTGTAATGAAATGTCGTACTTAAATCAGCCAGGCATACAAAAACTAGTACAACTCGTTCTGAACGTCTTTATAGACAGCCAGGCAGTTGTAAAGACAATCGAAACACAAACAGTGAAATCGAGGATTGCAATAAAATATCGTACCTCATTGATGAAAATCGAATATCACAAGAACACTTATTGTCAGGTTTCTGGATGTTAGAATATTGGAATATTGAAGAGAACTAGATAACACACGAGTTAACCAGTAGTGTTCCCAACTGAAGCCGACTTTTCGATACACAAACTGATGGACTGATAAATGACTTATGGACTAATTGCGAAAACTAAGAGATTTTTAAGGTCTTATAGGCTAGAGAGGTTACTCATAAAACAAAAAGTATTGCACCGATGCTTCAACGGTGGTGTGTTTAGTCATGTGGATTATGCAGAGGTTGTCGTAATACATATAAAATGCATTAATCACTTTATTTGTCTTTATCCGAAACAACAGATGACATTCACAGTGGATATTCACAATAGACTGATTTTAAAACTTGGCACTACTGAAATTTAAGACTTAAAGTTTTTTGCGAGTAAAACCTAACTCTGAAGATTTTAAGAGCATTGTTATTGCTTCTCATGTTTTTTTTCGTAAGTTGCGAGAATTTCTTTGCACTGCACTAGACAATGAAATTTCTACTAGGGCATCTATAAGCCTACAACTAATTTTAGGCATTGGATCTGTGGAGTTTTACTATAGGACAATGAGTTTTATTAAACTTAAACATGTTGATAAAAAGCTTATGTGACTTGATAATATTATTTTATAGAGATGTTCCTTTTTCTTGCTTTTAAAACAATACTGTTTGTTCTTTCTTCATAATTGATGGTTAAAATCAAATTTAATATTATTTTATAAGCTTTAAAACATATTTTACTTAAATCACTGTATTCATTTTATTTAAATACTTCTTCTTCAACATCAGTTTTAATTGGGATTAATGATTTAATGGCATTGGAAATACATTTTAACAAAATACTTCGACTTTCAACAAAAACTATTATAAAAGTAATTTATATATTTGTCTCAATAAAATAAAAAAAATAAAAAAATATTATATAAATTATATAAAATGAATTTTTGTTTCTCGAACTACTGTTCGAGAAAACCTCTTTATAAAAAAATTTTAAAAAAATAAATTAAATAAAAAATGTATAAAAAAATTCATAACAAATTGAAATTTTAATTATAAACGATTTATAAATGATTTATATAATCAGATTTATACGAAAAAAAAAAACTTAAATGAATTTATTTATTTTTACTATTTAATTTTTAAGTTAATAACAAATAACAATGAAGTCATTGATAAATGGCGTCAGATTTTTTATTTTTAATTATTATTAGTTGTGAATTGACAAGCGATAAATGTTAAGATCAAAACATTACGTAAAGCATACAAGTATCTATGGTACTCGTTTCGCTGACTAGAGGATATTAAATATTTATAATAATTATTTTGAGCTCATATCCAATTCCAATATCCAATCAATCAAAGCAATTTTGTCACCTACAAAAGACCGCAGCAACGAGACCTGCAAATGGGAATGGGAATGGAAATGGAATAATAAACAAACTGAAAATGCTGCCAAACAGCAGTAATTAAAGCCATGAATTGCGTCCAATTACAGTGGAAGTGACCACAACAATTTGGTCGCAATTACCAAATCATTTCAAGCACTCAATCAGGCGCGACACGGTCAGCGTTAATGTGAATTTAAGGTAAAACACAGTCATTCGACATGAAAATTTATTGTTAAAATGTAAGCGGAGTGACGTATCAATGCAACTTGGACAATGACAGCCGGTAAACAATGGGGAATTTCAGTGTTGTAAAGCATTTTGTCCCCTCAAAAAAAAAATGAAAGAATTTCTATTTATTCTGGAAGACAATGAACACACAATTTTATTATTATTAAAATAAACAATAAATGAAATTGAACTTTTAAATTAAAAATAATAAAAGCCATGATTTTTTTATAATTATAATTTGTCGCTTCAATGAACAAATTTAAAAAAAATAAATAAATTAAATAAATCTTGAATTATTAGTAATAAAATAATAATATTATATTTACAAGAAAAATATCATACATCAAAAATAACAAATTTTATATTTTTAAAGTCTTAACAATAAAGCCACTCTATTTTCTTAACAAAAACAGATTCATTTTTCATCTTTATCAACATGGTCCGAGGTTGAGGCAGTCCAAGTTAACGGTCTTAACTGGCTCAAATTTCAACTTCATCTCCTTTCATTTTTCGCCACCTTTCAACAATTAATGGCATAACGACGAATACATTCATCATTATTGAAATTAATTCTTTTATTATAAAATAAAAAATAAAATAAAAAATAATAAAAATAAAGATAAAAATATTTATATCTTAATAGCGATGAAAATAAATATTTTTTATTCATAAACGAAATATTTTGCAAGACCTTAATGAGCAGAAAGAATTCGCTGATTAATCACTAATCATATTATTGAGCGCACAATGTAGATATTTGGAAGACTAAACGAATTCGAAACATTAACATAGTTCTCAAATATAAGGTTTATTATTTCCAAATATATTACTGTACCAACGGAACCAGATGACATACCTACGAAGTTTGATATCGTATGATTTAGAAATTGCTGAAAGCTAAAAATATATACTAATGTAAATTGCTGTGATCTCAAAGATTTTGTTGTACCCCTACTCTTCATACGTACACTAAAATGAGTACTGAGTATTGATGGAACATTAGTATAATACATAGTACGGAGTATTGGTATACTGTGA